AGGTTTTCTTTCCTCTGTGCTATTCTCCAAGTGGTGTCAAACAGGTTGGCAGGATCTTTGATCCGTACCCACAATCTGCTAAACATAGGAGAGCGGATGGAGAGAAAACCAGTTACATCTCCCTGACTTGCGAGATGCTATGTGATGATGTTTGCAAAGGCTTAAGTTGAGGCTGACTTGTGGCTACTGTAATAATGTTAAGTCAAGGATCTGAATTTTGTAAACTGTCAGAGCAGCTCAGAAAGGCCAGACTCTATGTGTAGACTCTCCTTGAACACAAGGTGGTAAAATACCATACACAAATGTAACGTAAAAACCAGTTTTGTGAGGTTCAGCTGTCTGTGGCCCTGGGCCTAGCCTAGTACAGGACAGCTGTGTGACCTTGGTTCAGCTTTACTGAAAAAAATTACTGTTGAGCTGTGATGGACTGCATAAGCTAAAGCCATGCGCCATGCAGCATTAAGAAAGAAAAAAAAAAAAGCAGAAACAAATGTAAAAGCAGAATTTTTAAATCAGTAATAGCAACCCAAAGACTCTAGTCAAAATTTCCATTGTGAAAAGGCATAAAAAACCCTGAAGAAAAAAAGGCAGAGTTGGAAGATAGCAATTCAGCAAGACTGAGACCCAGCCTGTTCTAAAGAGCAACGGTGACTGACAACAGCCTGGGCACCAGAGACTCCTCAAGTGCCTGCCTGCGCTGGGGGTGACGAGCAGAGTAAAGATTAGCCCAGGAGCACATTAATCCCAGCAATTTACTGCATGCATTAGCCAACGAGTGGTTGTTGCAAGCTGTGTATAAACCTCCTGCCACATCGCTGCACATGGTAAAGGATGCCCAGTTGAAAGCGACTCACAGACTCAAGGGTTCCCCAGTCACACAGACACACAGGCTTCCCTGCACAATCATTTCTCCCTCCTTCATACTTTCTGCAGTTACCTCACACCCTTCAGGCTCTTGTTCTCTCACATCTCATCTCTTTCCTTCCTCTGCCTCCACACACTACCACTACCAATGGAGAGAAGAGACACAACGGGGGTAGGGCAGCACAGACCTGTGATCCTGACGGCTGCATGAAGTCATTACCCCCTTTTTACCAACCGAAACAGGAAGGAAAGCCAGAGAGGCAACAGGAAGAGAAACAGTCATGCCGCCTAGGTTTAGGCACCAAAATTGCATACGCTGAAATTCAGAGGTTTGTCACCAAGATTCCTGGAAAGAGAGAGAGAGGAGCCAGTGCTCTGAATAGGCCACCGTGATGTCTGCCCCAGTCCACAGACTGCACAGGGGTGCTAGACATTTTCTTACATCTCCTCGAGACATCAGGACAGCCTTCTCATGGAGGGAGAGCGCCTTGGAGTCTTTCACAGCCCTCTCCACCTAACACTTCTCCTCAGAGCACAAATCCCTGGAAAAGGAGCTGCCAAAGAGATTTTTCTACCCTGTTCCCCTCCAGGAATAGCAGGTTAGGTAAGTGGGGAGAAAAAGAGTAAGCTACTACATAACTGACTGACTTACATAGCAGCAGCAATGATTTTCTGCTGTCTAGTCACATATCATGATGGAACTTCAGCTAGAACAAATTACCCTTGAAGCTCACTGAACGCCAGCAACATCCAGTTACTGGCAGTCCCATTTAGAAATGGCATAAAAAGACAAACGGCATAGGGGTTTGAGGTCTGTGCGATTGTTTAGAACTTGGTTTTGGGGGGCTCACAGGCATTAATTATTAAATGACTTTATAGGCTTGCCAAAAAGTACATCACTTGTAACAATGCACAGTGGCAAATTTCACTTCACGGAGCATAAACTGATCATTGCAGGATCGCACTCAGTACACAGCACCCCTTGCTGGAGCAGGAAATTATGATATGGGCATGAAGATGAATTCATCCAATATGCCTCTCAGACATTAGATCCAGACTGCTGCTGGAAGCAAAATCCTGAAGGTGGGGAACCAACTATGTGATATGACAAGCCTTCCTCAGAGGACACAAACACAGAGGCATTGGTATTCTTGCCTCTAAGACTAGCTAAGTTCTCCACCTGTTATGAAATAGCATTCTTAAAAATGGAAAAGTTACAAAACAGGAGCGCCCTGGCCCTCCAATGAAAGATAGATTAAACGAAACAAAATAGCTGAATGTAGCATGTCAGGATGAGATATCATCATCTTGTCAAGAACCTTATGACCATAGCTAATTTGTATAAAATGACAGAACAGAGTCACGAAAAACGAGATGCCCACATCAGCAGAGCATGCAGATGCATGGCTGATGCATGACATCAGCTCGTATTAGCATCTTCCAGCCCAACTGCTCTGTCCGCTGCTGAACATACTCATCCCCAATAGGACTACTCAGCACCAAAGCTGGAAAGCTAGGTTTTGTGTTACTGTTGCTGTCTTGAGCCACCTAGAACTTGCCTTAAATAAACATCAGAGACTAGGCAACAGTTCCAACATGAAGTTTTGTGAAAAGATGATGTTTAATACTTATACCATGATGTTTATAAACTACACTTCTACGTGGGTGTAAGGAAAAAAAAAAACCAAAATTTTCTGTGGTAGTGCTGGAGATCATCCTTATCAAGATATTCGCAAACAGATCTCATTTGCGTGTGCTATAGATGCATTTCTAGCTAAAGGATGATGACACAAGATCTCTAATTGTTGTAGACAGTTTTAAAATGGGAAAAACATTTTAAACTACTTATGAATCCCCTCATCCTAACTTCTGTATACCTAGTAACTGTGGAATAATCTGTAAAAATGTATTTCCTAGGGTAGTAAATGGAAGCTAGCCAGACTTGGAGACACCAGTAAGTCCTCATATCTGCGTATAAAGTCATAAAGCCTTGCACGGTGCTGAACAGATTCTTACTGATGTTAATAGATATGATTTAAGATAGAGATTATGTGGTACTTTTCCTATAACATCTGTGTCTTTGCAGTTTTATGGTCCCATATGGCTCAGGTAAACTACTCTTTGCATGGGAGACCAGAGAGACACTTTCTTTATTAGCAGGGCCAGGAATGAAAAATGATTTCCAGATGTTCTCAAGAAGCCCTTCACCTGTGACCTCACTTTAAGTAAATCATCCAAAGACAGAAAAAAACTTGGATGCTTCTTTTCCTGAAGAAAGCAGTTACAGAAGTGAGGCATTCTACAAATGTCATCGGTGCTTTCCATCTTCTACTACCATCAAGTTCACAATTAAGCTTAACGCTTCTTTGGATTTACTTTTACTCACACTAAAATCAAGGAAGAATTATACTGTATGAAAGTACACATTAAAGTGACAGCGCTAAGAGCTTTTAACTCACTGCATCATATGCTACTTGAATACATACACAAATAATATGAATTTACATGGTAAGAGACCTGTAAATTTTATGTGGGCATAATTCCTGGAAAAATAATATAGAATTTTGCCTTAGCAACAATATAAGACTGTACCACTCAGTTACTGAAATTCCTGAAGTAAGAGAGTTTTTCAGAGTAAAAACAAAAATAGAAGTACTGCTTCTCATCAACCCTAAGGAATGGCACTGTTACTTCTTAAAAGGCATGGAGAGGCAATCATCCTCATAGTACTGTGAAAATAGTTTCTATAAACATTGGCATTAAATTGTCTCTTGAATCCACTCCTGAAAAATAAGCAACCTCTTCTAAGAGCTAACAACTATAGAATATTGCTATGAATGTTTTTGAGATGGTCCTCATAGTTCTTATTTGCTCTCCCAAAGTGTCAGAATGAAGTACAACATTTCTGGCCAACTGTCTCTTGCTGGCAGCATGAAGCAGTTGCACATCCGGTTTGTGGACTATTTCATTCTCCAGAAAGTCATAAAACGGCTGAAGAAAACTTTGACTTCGGTTTTTAAAAGCCAGAAAATTACCTATATTCAAACAGCCCAAGGGCACAGGAGGCTGATTACTCAACCTACCTTGCCCCTGGACACAGAAAAATAAGACCTTCAATAAAAGGTCTGGTGTGGTCAAATCCTTTAGGATTCTGTCCAAGTTTGATATTATGCACTTCTGGCAAACAAGCTATATGACATTGTGCAAGGTTTCATTTTAAAATAATTCTTTGTGTACAGCTACCAGATTCTTACACCTAATTGAGAGAGTAAATCGCCAAAAAACAGCTAGATCACATCCCTTTGGTACATATTAAAAAACCTCTGGACTTTCTTCTTTAAATTGGTGTAACGCTGGAAAATTCCTTGTACCCGAATCTACATTCCATGCTACTCAGCTTCCTCTCTGAGGCAGGTGTCTAGCAGAGAGATGTCTAGTTACACATCTGCAAATAATTTGCTGAATTAGAAGAACTACCTCTTCAAACTTAGCGACAAAACTGTGCTTTGCCTTTTTTCCTTAGTAAACAGTGCAGTAATCCCAAATAAGTGGCATGTAAAGCTGTTATGAATCAGACTCTGTAATCACATTTCAATGTTTTACTGGTTGTAAATAACATGCACGAGTGCTCCAAGGACCAAATTGCTCTTCTGCTGCCAATGTTAGTTGTTTAACAATCTGAATAGCAGAAGCTGCCAATTATTGTATTCCATTTTAAAGTGTCATTTAAAACCCATACATGTAATTATTATACCTTTGTTGTTAATTTATTATGGCTTTTCTTAGCTGGAGAGCTCTAGGCATTTAACTTGTAAAGGCTAGGGAAGCTATTGATAGTTATTTATCCTTTTCACCTATGAAAAAATATCATGTTCTTTGTATATGACAACTGCCTATCATCTGGCACTCTCTTGGACAGTAGTTCCCAGTCACAGAGAAGGGCCTGAAGTACATTACACTGGGCATGACACAGCCCAGGCTAACCAATTCTGCTGGACTCACAATGGCTTCAAAGGACTCAGGCACGTGCCGAGCCATGACCATTTTCCCAGGAAGGCTCAGCTAGAAAAAGGTCAATAAACTGCCCTAAAACACCACTCATGAATTGTTAGTCTGTCCCATCATTTACAACTTACCTGATACAGCCAGCATTTTGGCTTCAAGTAGAGCTGGTAGTTGAGTCTCAATATCGCTCACTTTCCTCCTCAAAGTACTGCAGAGCTTCTGGCTTGTGCAAACCTAGATTGAGGCAGACAGCCATGATATGTAATTCATTCATGTAAAAATATAAGGCAATCTAAATGGGGTTTCAAATGTTCTTGGTTTACGAACATGATATACCCTACAGCAAGGTAACAAAGCTTAATAAAAAGTGATGTCTTTGCTGAAGTAGCCAACATGAATCAGCATTTATGTGGCCTTACCATACATTCCTTTATTAAAAATAGAAAATATTATTAGCATTAGTTACCTATATAAGAGAGGATATGTTTCACTAATAAATACTGAGGCTGAATTTAGAAGAAAGGGCAATTAAAGAACTCTGCACAATTTCAGCATCAACAGTGATGCCTGGAATCAGTGGAATTTAAGGAAATCAAGGTTTGGTGTTTAAGATTGCATAACACAAAATGAACAGTTATTTCCTTTTTTTTATTATTTACCAAAGATATCACATCACATGTCTTAACTGGAAAAAGGAAAAGCAACTGTCATTCCTGGGCAGGCAATAAATAAGGCTATACCAATTCAATATTGTACTTTGTTTCACAATCAGGAGATACAGCTGGATCAGGTTCAGGTCTCTCTGTCTCTCTCTCTTTTTTAATTGGAAGTCTATAAGCAACAAATCAGAACTGGTATTAGGTTGGAGAGAGACAGTAGAAAAGAAATGAGAAGAAAGGAGCTTCACCTGTTTCTATACTTTATATTTAAGCATATGTAACCACCTCAGAAGATCCTTACACACTGTAAACAATTTATACAACTTCCATATATTCAAAAATATCATTCTTCCCCTATATTGCAGCACTTGTGAAGGAAAGCAAAATGAACAAACAGAAAAATCCCTCTTCTAGCTAAAGCCTATACCCAGGTGGTAGTAAATACCCTTTTTCTGAAGGCAGACATCAAGTAATTGCTTAAAATTGTAGCTGACTCTGGAGAAAACACTGCACTCATTGGAACCAAGGGTAAAGCAACAGTCAAGAGAGGCACAGGCCAGTTGCAAAGAGATGAGATTTGAAATGAAATCCCCAGAGGAAAGTTTCCCTGCCCTCCTCGTATTTTTTCTCAAAAGTAAGTGGTGATTTAATATACTTTATATATATTCAAAAGCACCACTATCACTTTCTTTTTTAAAAACAAAAGCCCTACAGCTCTAACGGATTACCTGTTTGTATAATTAAAGTATAATAATTCAGATATGACACTAATTGTTAGTCTTATTAAATGGTTAATACCCTCTTGCTTTAGCTGAGAGCATCTGTTAATCATAAAAACGTCTCATCACTTCTGCACCCAATACAATTTTGCAGTTCCCAGATATTTCACTTTATTTCAGTTCCTCCTTCTTTCTACCTTACCTAGTAATTTACTTAAAATGGTTTTAAATAAATAAATAAATAAAGCAAACATCTTTCACAGGTGGATAAATGTGCCCAAGGAACCCAAAGGCAAATTCTGTCTCTTATCACCAAAATACATCTAAAAGTTTCTAATGACTTCTTCCCAACCAGTGTTCACTCTTTAGAGGTAACTGAACGGCTCAGTGAATTGCAATTAGATTAGGAATCTTTCATCTCCAGGAAAACTGCATGAATATATCCCACGCTGGTAGTAACTTACAGTCATTACCACCAGATAGCTCTTTGGCAATTATGCAAAATAATCTGGGAGGTTTAATCAGTTTCTAGCAAACACTGTCCACTTTAAGCAGCGCCACAGCAATGAAGCTTGCTGGCTCTGTTTGCTAATGGACCAAGAAGAGGGACCAGAGGCAAGTTCCTCCGACTCACAGAGACGGTTCTTCTGGAACATGAGATAAGTCCGTTACTGAGCCTCTGCTGGTATCTATGTCATATGTATTCTGGGGATAAATGAACACCATTAATTTTCAGAGCTATGATATGGTATAGTTTGACAAAACTAAATGAAAGACTGGAAAAGGCAAAATAATTTAATTTCCCCTAAGCTACTAGCATTGCCTCTAAATTACACCAGTTCTACTCTACAAGCTCCAGTTCGTTTTGTTTTTCTAATTATTTTACCTTCATAACAGCTCCCATTATTCATTACAGTAGCTTATTCAGCCACTGAGAGCTGAATTCTCGGCTGCCAAGATGATGAACAAAGCCCCAGGTAAACACGCTACCTATATCTAACTATCTTGACTGCAAATACTCATGCCCGTGGTCCCAGCAATGTCCTTTCCTTGTTCTCAGCAACCAGCTCAACATAGCTCTGCTGCAGCCCGAGGACCAAGGGGCTCCAATTCTAAAAACAGCTACTTTCCAGTTTCAGGGAAGCCCTTTAGAGCCAAATATTACAGTCTCTATTTTAAAAACCTCTTCAGTGTTTTTCTTGTGGGCTTTCAAAAAGAAAAAAAAAAAAAAAAAAAGGTCACCTCTTGTTTAGGAATTAATCCTACAAATCTGTGTTCGGATATGTCATCATTACTCAAGAATGTAGTCCCACTGAAACTGTTACAGTCACATGGAATTAAGCTGAAAATAAGCAAAATATCAAAAGCAAATATTTGCCCACTGTCAACCCTTTCCATCTTTCCAGTGTATGATGTTAATCTGAAGTGGCAGAAACAGGGACAAGGACACAGACTAAAACACTGAAAGTAACTCCTCCTCCAACCATCTCAAAAAAAAAAAAAAAGATTGTGAATAGCCTTCACATTTCTTTATAACGGTACATCAGAAAAGAGATGGAAATTCTCTCAAGTTTGCCTGTGGCAAAGCACAGTCGACCTGGATCTCCCATACAGCGCAGTAATCTTGTCATTAGCGAAAGCATTTATTAATTTCTGAATGAAGGAGGTGGCTTAGGGACATTGGTCCCCTCATTAACATGCTGATCTTAGCTTTTGCTGCCTCAGTTGAAAGCAATACAGGTAAAGCAGAAAAGGCAGAAAAAGCCATACAAATATGGCATGGGAGAGAGGAAAAGGCCTTTGACAATGCAGTGTTTTCCCCATACAATCAAAACATTACAAAGACTAATTCTATTCAGTTTGAGAAGAAAATAGAATGAGATAATTTGAATAAATAAAATAATAAATGATTTTTGTTTTGTTTATGTGCTTCCTGTTTATCTAATAAATAAAAAGCTATCACAAAGGAATGTAATGAAATTAAAATAGTATTTTAGCTATTTAATATTTAAAGAAATGAGTAGGTTGTGGAATTCTACCACAAACACTTCGTAACTGTTACCCAAAGTTTAAGCTCTTATTTAAAAAGTCTCTAGGCCCAATCATTGTAAAATAAGCCTTCAAAATGTAATGCACACATTTTTGGTGGGAAGATGAAATGTGTATCTTACATTTGAGCTTCCATACAGCCTCAAACAATGAATCACCCTAAAGTACCAAACTCTTCATTAACTTTAGTGGATTATCTGTAGGTCAACCACAGTCTTTTATTTGATACTTTGTTCATAATCATTAAAAAACAGGTGGGGGAGCAGAAGTATCAAATTATGATGGACTATACTAACATTCCCAAGACATTTGCAAACATAAGGAGGAACTTCGCAGTATAAAATGATTAATGATCAAAACCAGAAATATTTTCCCTTCCCTGCTCCATATAGAGCTGTAAGAATTAGATACAATTAAATGAATTTTTCTTCTAAAGCACTCTTGGAGCAAAGATGCGCTACCTGTGGCTCACAGACCTATTCTGATATAAAAAGAAAACTTTAGTAGTCTCTTTCTTGGAAGGAGGCCCTGAGAAATAAGAAAATGAAAGAAAAAGTATTTATGTCTATGATTAGAAACCAAGGTATGCCAAATACATCACATCACTCTCCTTCGTGTTTTTAAAGGAGTGTGAGAATTGGATGCTAGTTTATTATTATTTAAAGAGAGGGGAAAAAGTAACCCTTTTAAAGGGGAAAGAGGAACTTTATTTATGTTCTTCCTTCCTTCAAATCAACCAAATCAGACACATAGGAAGGTAAGAGGCTCTTTATACAGAGTAAAAAATATTAAATTGTGACCACAGTTCATTTTCATTTCATGAAGCAAAGATATCTGTTTCTAAATCGAGGCCAGCAACGCTGAACACTGGTAAAAATGAGCCGAGAAGCAGAGCCCTCCACCTGCTTCCTTAAGCATAATCTCAGTGGTTTGTCCAAATTTAAGTTTCTTATTTTAGAGTGTATGGTTAAGTATATTCACACATAAAATCTGTTCAGAAGACACACCATAAAACTAACTTTCCAAAATATGGACAATTTATTGAAGAGGTATTACCTGCTTCTCTAAATGTTCTGAAGAACTGATACCTGACATGTACTTACTTTGGCAGTAGTTTCTTTAATGGACACGCTGAACGATTGTTCTCTTTCCTGAAGGCTAGAAGGGATTAAAATAAAACAAAATAATGTTGACTTTCTCTGCTCATCACCGTCTGCTACACAAAACACATTTTTTTCATATGGAAGCACACAGGCTTTAAGATGACTCACACTAGCACAAAGAGCCAACAACAGGATAAAATCCTTGTATTTGGTTTCAGTGTTTATATTTTGCTTTGCTAGTGACTAACCAACATTTTCCACCCAATTCTACCCGCTCACTCCTATTTTTTCACAAAATGGATTGCAGACTAATTTTGCACTTTTTAATTAATGAGGTATTAAAAAACCCATTTCATTTACCAGGAAAAACACAGTTGTGATTATTTGCATAACTGTAGTATCTAGAAGTTCAAAATAGGGTTCGGGACTGGTATTTCCTAGGCCATCACCAAGCATTTAACAAAAAGAAAGCTTCTGTCCCAAGATATGCAGTTAACTATCCTCTTATAACCAGGTTTCCAGCTTTGCCAGGAAATATTCAAATGCAGTTATTTGTCTTCACAGTAATGAAATATCACTACTCATTTTGTTTAGTTTAATAAAACCATACAAAATATTTGTACCACGCTGATTCAACATGGGCTGAAATTCTGAGGTATAATCCATGTTAGTGGGAGCAAATTCAAGGTTTTCTTCCATATCCAAAAACAAGTAAATTTAGTAACTTGTTATTATTGAACACAACATAATCCTGCGAGATAATTTACAAGCACCAAAGGCAAAAGTTACATTTTAACGTAAAGATCAAGAATTCAAGCCAACTAGTCAAACATTAGGAGTAAGCATGGAGATTATTTTTGCAACGTTCATTTAATATTTACCTCCCTCCTGCTTTGTAGATACACATTTTTACACAGTGTTCAATTACATTATTACAAGCTATTTTCTTTTTCGTAAGACACTTCAGTGTACAGGACAGTCAGCGCTCCCCATCAGCAGCATCTCAATACTTCCTTTTAGCCTCCCTGTAAAGATTGCACTTATTCTACAACCCACCCGTGATGTTCTTCCTGAAAAAAAAGTATTAATTTATTTCTGAGCTTTTCTTTAGTGTTCATTACTGAAGTATCCAACCATTTCAGAAACATCACTGGATGTATTTCAAGGTTATTCTTAAAAGATTGTATTCAGCATTGCATTGTATTCAGTTTATAGGTGAAAGAAACATAAATGCACTGTTATTCAGAATGCAAAGTAACATCAAGTGCCAATTTTGACACGCGTGTATAGTCCTTGCTGCCCACCTTTAAGCATCGCAGTTTTTCTTTCGAGACCTTGCTGCTTTGTGTTTTCCAAGCTTAGCACTTAACTGAATTCCATCTCAAGACTCGGCATTTCTGCAGGTCTGAATCCCACAGTACCTGAAGTTGGACTCTCAGAAAATGAGGAATATGCAGTCACTGAGCACCTCTAGAAAGGCTGGCTCGCACATTTTGTCCAGCTTCAGGCAGGAAGCAAGACAGACTCGGAAACAGAATTCAGCTGTCCAGTGTATCACCTAATTGCGTTAATGAGGAAGCTATTTGTATTTCTCTCCCTAACGCCTTGCTTTCTGGAGCACACACCTTTTCAGCCTGCAGAACAACAAGGCCAACCAGCTCATTCACCCTTCAGCACGCGGCCCTCCCTCCAGCTCCGGATGAGGCAGCCCCCTCAGAAGAAAGAGCATTTGACTGTGTAAGTTAACATGGGTGTAAAACAACAAACAGAAAAACAGCCAGCTAGCCATTACACAAAATTTCTCCCTTACCCACCTTTTCTACAGCAATATATGGACAAAACTCAAAACATCACACACAAAACTATGCCTGTCTAACTCTGGGCGTGCCAGAGGGAACGAACTATACGTAGTCATTTCTTTTCTCAGACTCTGCAGAGCTCCCAAATACTTTGAGCATCTACCACAGTCATCGTTTGAGCTGGTTACGGAAAAAAGCACTGTGCTTTGTGTGCGGATGTCAACTGGCTGCAGCGTGTAATTGAATGAATAATAGGCGACTGGCCCAATTGTTCTGTAACTGGCTTATACAATCCAACTCTAAGGATCCAAGACATAACATAACGTAAAGTGCAGTTATAGCCAGAAGAATAACACTATAACAACGGCACCTCTTTCTTTAACAAGTCCCTTCTGCGTGCATTTCCTCCTATCTGTTTACTTTACTGACAAAAAGCCCCCACAGATTCATAGTGTGTTTCACTGCTCCGCAGAGCTCACCCAGCTAAAGGGAAGTGAGGTCAATTTTTAATATTTTTTTAAACCATACATCCAAAAAAAGGGCAAGAACAAATTATGACCCAATTGCAGAATCTTTATTGCTAACAATGATGCACAAACCCATGTGAACTTCCAGGTCCAGTGTTGAATGGGGAGAGAGAGAGTGGAGGGGGGGAAAAAGCAAGCCTCTTTTGATTCAGTTTTCTTGTTATAAATATCTATCAAGTCACTGAAAAAAAAACAGGTATGGAATCACACTCTGCCGTTATATTAAGAGGAGAACTGTAATTTTAAGAGACAATCTTACATTAATCTGGAGAATATCAATAAAGACTTAGAATCAGTCAATCACAGTATTGATCTGTGCTACTGATAGCCACATTAACCACACAGACTTGAATCTAAAGAACCCTTTTATTACAGTTACTACTTTCGTGCATACTCTTAAAACTGTATTTGTACCATGTCTGCTATGAATTTCACAGCACCAGTTGTACCTTGGTTTACATTTATTTAACTTTTAGAGTGATACTGTAGGAATTCCATATCCCTTTTAGAGATTAGCCCACATGCTTCACATGCAATAGTCAAAACTGTATGAACCAGCCAGTGTTACCAACTATAAATAGTCATTTAACTCAGTTCATTCCCACATTTTCTTCTATCACAAAACACCAGCCTGGAGAAGCCCCCCACAAGCCTTCCAATTATCTGACAAGCCAAAGCTCCAGCTTTAGCAGCAGCAACTGAGTCAGTCAATACAGATTCATTCGATTGACAAAGGGTTTTAATAACCATGATCTGTTACAAGTGACTTGAAGCAGAAATAGTATTTTCTTTTACCAGCACCCTAGAGCATCATACTTCATTTTAAGAGGGACGTTCGGTCTGCTTAGAAGTTGCTTTACTTATGACTACCAGGGAAAATTGCTTTAAAAAGAGCTCCTTGGAATAACACTGATTTTTTGCCTAGGAAGACAGCCACAGTTTTGACTCATTGCTATTCTTCTCTGGCAGAAGAGCTAATCAGGGATTTGACTGCTTGTCCTCACTGTCTCTGCAATCTATTACAAGGACCATTTAGAAGTTACTTCTCAAATTCAATATAAGCTAACTCCATCACAGAGAATGCTAAGTTCTTGACCTGGTTGATGGAAGGACTAGAATAAGACAGGAATTCAATTAACACAAATTTAACTGACTAAAGGCAGGAAAAGAAAGGTTTTTAATGCTTGCAGAACTGACAGCAATCTATGTATCATATACATAGATTCCTCATTCATGCAGATAGCCACGTAGGCTTACCATTTAAATTGCTTGCAATGGATTTACACACACGAGGCTATATAATGAGAAGAGAAGAAAAGAAAAGCAATGCAGACTTGCAAAGTACATCTTAGGGCCTCATTGTATACCCACTAGACCAGACTAGGAAGGCACGAGCCCTTTCTGGATGATGAATAAGTAACACGTTGGCAAAACATGGACTTCAATCAGAGAATTGCAGGAGGATATGGGAAGGCTGCACTTCTAGGATCCAAGGCTGACATGGCATGTAATAACAGATTAAGGGAAAACTTTAAAGATCCAAATAGTTCAAGAAAGTCAGTGTATTATAAGCATCTCATGCTGATGACCTAAAAGAAAAACACGTGTTGAGCGTGTTGAATTGTTACAACACAGTTGGAAATTGCTGAGACAATGACGTTCAGAATTAGGAATAAGACGTGGGCAAAATAAAGACACAAACAATGCAGTGCAGCAGGGGACAGAGAAGGAAGCTTGGGAATTGAGTGGTCTGGTTCACACAATCCTCGCTCTATCACAGGCTTCCTACATGACCCCAGAGGCCAGTAAACGTCCTAATACAACAGGTAGTGTTTAAAAAGCCTTTTAAAGAATATTCTGAGGAGCTATGATATACATGAAGAAATGGCAGACGTTATGGAAGTGGCTTTGTTCAGAGGAAGGCTGAGTAAGTACAATACTGGGAAGAAGGGCTTTCTACTAAAGGAAGGAACGTTTCCGAATTTCTTTCCTTCCACTTTGCCAATATACTTCCCTTCATATCTTAAGCTATTGTGTATTTATGCTTTGCTTCCTAAGAAAAAAATTGAAAGAATGAAAATGGCCAAAAGGCAAGTCATGCTGACCTCTACATTAAAGATTTATGAATATATATACCGCTTAAACAGAAATAGTTCCTGTATCAATGACAAAATATACATAAAATGACAAAAAAATGTGTGCAGAGTACAGCCTCCAGAACTGCACAAGCAAAAATACTACACGTATGGTTTAAAAATTATGAGAAAGTACCACTGTAAAAAAAAAAATTTATATATATATATCCCATACTGGAAATTCTTCTTTTCATATAGAAACTGAGACATCTCATGCCTAAAGAGACTGAAAGGCAGACGAGGTACCCTGTAACAGAGAATATTAATATTCTTCCATATATTGCTGCCGCCTAAAAGTTATTCTAGGTCCCACTGTTTCATTCCCTATCACTGCAGCACATTACAGTGCTTAAGCAAAAAACACACTTCCTTTCTTCAAATGTAAGCACAAATCAGAACAATTTAAAATTGCTCATATTTGAATCTTGAATGCAAGAGCTGCATGAAAGCTGTCTAGAAACCTAGGCTCACCTTGTGAAAGTTTAAAATGTAAGAGAAAACAGGATGGGCTGGGCCTCAATTCATACGAATATTTTCCTGCTACTTAAAATGACTTTTTAAAAGTATTTCCTTGGCTATCAGCAAATTTAAGCT